ATATATATATATATATATATATATAGATAGATAGATAGATAGATAGATAGATAGATAGATACATAGGGAATTTTATTGTCCGCAGAAAATATAAAATAAATACAAAAATAAAGTGCAGACAGAGAAGGAAAAAATCTACAGCGCATTGCTGATGTATTTCTATACGTAAAAACAAAAATAAAATTTAGATCATTTAGGTTTTCTGAAACTAAAGAATCAGATAATATCGATGATCTGACAATTGCATTATTCTTGCAACTTAAATCAATCTTTAATTGTATTTGATTATTTGTTCAGTTATGTACAATTGTGACCATTTTTATCATATACAATGATATTTTATATCACTGCAGCAAATGCTTCTAGCCATTCCTCATCTTTTTAAACCTCAGCTGATTTAACACAATGCGAGGTTAGCAGTCGTGTAATTTATTAAAGTACAACTTTACGTTTTAATTAGCTTGTATTTGGGAATCTACTTTACCTTCTTCATAATAATTAAAACAAAATCCTCATTCTGTGTTTAGAGCGAAACGGTGTCCCTTTAATTATATAATTTTTATTTCAGGTGGATTGTATGTGGAGTCCGTTTTAACAAGCACAGCTGCATGGTTGAGCACACGTCCACTGCGATTAGAGAGCAGCTGAAACCCACGAGAATGGAATAGCAGCCACAGGGGAAACCATAATTTACAAGCCAAACCGAAAGAATTACAATGTGCTGCAGATACAATCCTCTAATTGCCGTAGCACTAATATTTATTGGGTAAATAATTTAATGAAATTAAAGTTTTCAGATGCATGGGAGAGTGTAGTTAAAAATATATACCTATCGCATATTTTGATATTTAAGTGACTTGTTACATGAGTCAATATTTACATTCTAATTTTATTACAATTTTAGTAGTAGTTTGTACTATCTCTTGGGGTGTTCTACGTATTTCGTTTTTCATTAGGTTGATGTCATTACTGCGATGGATCAGACTATTTTACATATGTATATTTCATAATATTTGTTGGTGTTAGAGTAGATTATTGGTGAATTAGGGCAAGAGAAGGTTAGGTTAGGTGCATGGTGATGTGTAAACATCTAAATGATCAGATGTGACACTGTAACATCAAAGAAACAATGGACGGCAAGAGGGAATTACTAACGAAATAATTCTTTAAAAGACAAAATTTGAAATACTGTCATGTACAATTTTTCAAAAATTTGAGTAGTTTTCTTGTAATTTTGCGAGAAATGTAGCAAACTTCTTAATTCTTTTTTAAAACGACACAACATTTTTGATTGAATTTTGTCCTTGGATAGTGAAAAAGGACGCTTAAGGGAATGGTGCAGGTTTTATGTGCATTGAAATCCTTGAATTTTTGAAAATTGTTACAAAAAATCTCTGATTTATCGGCGTTATCGAATAACTAGATGAAGATATGTTTTTTTACTGAAATCTGTTAATCAAGAACATATATTCAAAGATGGTCATGTTAAATTTTCAGAAAATAGTACAAAGCTTTGAAATATGCTTTGTAAACGTATGCTAAGGAAAGATGACAGTTTTTGACAGTTTATGAGAGACCAATTCGGGCACAGGTGAGGGTTAAGTGGGGGTCGAGTGAGGAAATAAAGGAGAAGAGGTTGAACCCGGATTTACAAGAACTGTTTTACTGTGCCTTAAAACACTGGCACAAGAAGAAGGACCCAGAATGGCGGCCGGAACGTTGACCCATGTACGTAGGAAGCGGCGTTTACGGGCAGCCAATTAAGAACTGGCTCCGCAACTGAACCTAAGTATTTATTCTTGCATACCTATAAATGAGAATATATAATCCGGACACGAGCGAATGCTCTGCACTTCGAAAAAAATAATTATATGAAATCTGAAAATGAACTTAAGGCTAAATGCACCGAAAAATACTTGTAGGAAAATTCAATAGATCGCAGCACTATCACAGGATTTACTTTACCGGATAAGTCTGAACCAATCGTTCCTGATTTCGATTTGTAACGCATTTGACGCCTTTTTAAAATACAATTTTCGCTACGATGACCTTTTTCTCAAAATTCTTAAGCAAAAACGCGAATTTGAAATCAATTTCAAACTTTCGAGAAAAAATTTAAAAATGTGGGTATATAGCGCGAGGCGACATGCTTCCTGAATCCACGCCGTGACAATCATGCAAATCGGACGAATAGAGCGTCGTAAAGTGAAATTTACGAAAAACCTCGCCCCCCCCATTCTGCTCCGAAGTTGCACCCACCCGCCCGCTGTGGGCCTCTTGTCAAGCGCGTGCGGCCGGCCAGGCCCCGGCGGTTAAAGCGGTGCTACGTCTAAGAATTTAATTTTAGCTCTGCAAATACATTCCAGCCAATTAAAAAAT